CCCCTCCGACGGAGGCCGTTTATAGCAAAACACGTCGATTTCACGGGCGTCGGCTTCGTCAGCCCTGCCGAAGCCGCTGCGGAACGCAGCCGGGGGATTAGAATTGGTAAGAACCGAGATGCCGTCGAAAAGTCCCAGGTTAGCTTTCTCAGAAAAGCAAACGCTGGCACTCTCTCGTACTAGAAGGCTGTTAGGTTGAAACAGCGATACGCTGGCTAAAGCACGGAATTGTAATTGTTTCCAGAAAAAAACCTCACCAAAACCCTCCTCCACCAAAACCAGCCCATCCGGGCAGCAAACGCAACTTTATCGCTTATCTGTGAGGAAATCCAGCAGCCTGGTGACACACGGCCGGCTCAGGGCCGCTTTCTGCCGCACGCGTACCTGCCCAGCAGAGGAAAGCGGTGCCGAGGTGGCTGCGAGGCAGCGGGCCGGGGGGCCCGGTGCCTGCCTCGGCCCTCTCACCCGTCTCCTACCCGCGTCTGCACCGGGCGCTGCTGTGCGGAAAGTCCGGCGGGTTAGCTTAGGGCAAAGGCAGATGCGGATTATCTGCTTCAAACTTAGGCGATACACGGTTAACTCTCCTCACCCAGTGGCCTGAGACACCAGCCCAATGGGTTGATTCAACTTTTCTATTTACCTTTACGCTACTGGGTTAGAAATTAAAGTAATGGTCTGCCTCTCCGCCTGGTTTGCTTCAGTTTCTGCCGTAGTATCTTCGATGGCATAACCAGCCCGAGAGACCATGGGCGTATAGGTTACAGGCTGATCCCAGAACAGCTCTTTCAGTAGCTGAATTTCCTTTGTTGCTTTTTAACCTTAATAGCTCTTTAATTACTGTCCTTATTTTCAAACCAAGTATACATCTGTGTCATATTAATGAATATTCATCGTCACCGGAAAGCTATTAAATGCATTTTTACCTGTGCTTCCGAGGGAATAGATGCCAGCTGAGTGTAGTATTATCTAATTTCAGCCTGTCCTCAGCACCGTAATAATATCAAGACCTATTAGAGAAGACTCACAGATACATAAAAATAATAATGATTGATTATTTATTTGCTTTATAGTAGCACTTACGGATTCCTGCCAAGATCATGGCTCTGCTGTGCAAGGCTTCTTGCAGACAAAGGCGCAAGAGGTGGCCTCGCCTGGTAGAGCCGACACCTTGAATGGGAAACACAGCAAAGTGCTGCAGCAAGGATGTAGCAGAGGAGTACCTGGTCATTTGGGCGTCCTTTAGTTCCTTGGAGGGTTTGTGCAAACAAGAGGGGGGAGAGGAGGTAACGGGGGAAGAGATGGAAGGTGAGGGTGAGAGAGACAAGGATCAACCCTTACCAGAAAAACTGAAAAGACCCCACAGAACTGGGGTCTTCCCTGGTGCTTGGCACCAGTATCCCCTGCTAGGATCCTCAGGGTGGATCCAGCATCATCTCTCACTGGATGCCACTGATGCCACTGGAGATGCTCCAGTGTCTGCTTGTAGCTTACAGTGCTGTGATCTTCTGAGGAAACAGGGCGAGAGTGAGGCTTAATTAAATAAAGTCCATTTGAAAAGAAGGAAGCAGTTCTTTAGTATTTTTACAATGGGTCTGTACTGGAGGAACAAATTTTCCTGCACCAGTCCAGTGAGGACACTGGCATGAGGTAAAGAGTCCAAGACCCTCAGCTGGGGTCTCAGCATGGGGGCACTATAGATAGGAAGCAAATCCTATAGATGGATCAAAGAGGAGAAGGACAGATGGAGCGTGAGACATCAGTGTGGTGATGTATCCAGAGCGGAAGAGAGGGGATGTGTGGAAAGGAGCATTGCTGAGAGAAGGAGGGCATGGAACTAAAGAGGAAGGAGGATAGGCAGAAGTTCAGTATTAGAGCAAAACAGCCTGCTAGCAAGGCAAGCCCACCAGTACAGACTGAGTCTAAAGACAGTCTTCAGACTAGTACAGGCTGGAAAAGTTGAGATGCCAGCTATGTTCCTAGGCACTGGCACTTCATCTCCCCCATTAGAGCAGCCCCTGGCACTAGCACTCTCCTGACAATTCCTGGTACGATCTGGGAGTCACGATGTGCCAGAGACCGTTCCTGATACGCAGGTTGCACATGATCACCACATTTTGAAGGATGAGAGAATTCAATAGACACGGCTGTTCTGTACCAGTCCACCTCAGTGCCAGGGAAAGGTCTGGGGCATATTTCCTTCATTAATATAGATGTCACCTAAGTGTTTTGAAGTGAGAAGGGGAAACAGTACCAGTCCTTGAGAAGAGGGGGAGGTCCTGCTCCTGAGTGCTCTCTTGCTCCTAGGAGCACTGGGGGCCTGTGCTGGCTGAACCAGAAGGAGGATCAAAAGATGCTTTGTTCTGAGGGTGCAAAACCATTGGAGAAGTTCAGAGCACAGCTCGTGTGTGTTGTAGGCCCTGGGAGCGAGCAAAGAAGTGCCAAATGTAGAGAGAGCAAACTCCCATCAGGCAGAAATCTAGGTGCTCACCACAGTGGAAGGCAGATGATAGCTTTGACCATGTCCACTCCGGAGCCTGCTGAGATAGTGGAGCTAGACAAGGCCAGGAGACACTTCAGGGCTTGAATGAGAAATACCCGAGTCAGTACTTCCCATTTCATTAAACACCCATCACTACTGATTCACTCGCTACCTCGCATGGACCTGTGCACGGGCACACGTGGGCACGGTGAGCAGGACAGGGCTTGCCACCAAACATTTCACACGGAGGTCTTACTTGAGAAGGGAAGGCATTGTAAAACCTTTTCTGAGCCTGCTAGCTTTGACCTCTTTACATCATTTTATTTTCCACTTTCGGAACCTCCCTGACTCGCAGTACCTGCAGCTGAGGGGCTGAGTCTACAGCAAGAAACAGAGCTCACAGGGAGTAAAACAGAGTAAAGGGCCCCCCTTCGACTTCAGTGTCACCCAGGTGCAGCCTCGAAACCTTATCACAAAACAGACAGGCAGTGATTAATTACAAATAATGTCATCAGGACTCCTGCAGAGCAGACCAAAGTATTGGCATGGGCAAGAAGATGGAGAAACTTTAAAATGATCCTACTGAGATGCTGGCAGGATTGTAGTGTCCCACGGAGGCAGTTCCCCCACCCCACTAGTGCCTCCCTTGTCTCTGATACCACTGAAGGAATGAAGAAGAGCAGGCACACTGCCTCAGTGAGGAAATGTTATTTCTCCTCTGAAAGTGCTTCTTTTATCCTTAAGTCCAGGAGAACACAAGATGTTGTAATTTGGGGGGGGAAATTGACAGGAGACACAACAGCCCTGCCAGACCCATCCCATCCCATCCCTCCCTTGTCACGCAGCAGAAGGAAGTTTCTGCCTGACTTTATTGCCTTTGCTGGCATGTGAGCGCTGTGTGGAGGAGATGGGTTGGGTATGTGTTCTGGACACCTGCTTTGTGATTGTCTTGTCTCAATAGCAGATGTTGTTAGATTCAGGGAAGGTCTCCTGTTGCAGCTCTCATCGTATAACCAGATCGAGTGCAAATGCATCTATGGTTAACCTGTGTGCTTGCACTAGGCCCACCATGTCCTAGGAGCACCAGGTTTTCTGAAGATACAGTGATTAGATGTACTGCACACCCCTAGCACAGCACTCTAAAGCTGCTGTGATAAAGAAAGCAACTAGGAGCTGGCCATGGCTAGATAGATGAGCCTGAAAGGGAATGAAATATCCCAATTCCTGCCCTGCTCTGCATACCTGGCTCCAGCAATATAGGACAGTATCTTATGCTTTCTTACCTACATTCATTCTCCCAGAGGCTATAGATGGAGCAGAAGGCTGTCCACTGTTCAGAAGTTATCAGGCTGTGCTATAATTGCAATGACTGCGATTGAATCCTGTGCTTCTGAGCTTCTCCTGGCTTCCTGCAAGGGCTAGGAGGAGATTCCTCCCATGCAAAACTGTGATAATTTTTCCCACTTCCCTGCTGGCACTGCTAGCTGGGCTCCTCCTTGGAAATGTAGGTGAGTCTGTACATGAGGTGTAGATGCAAAATTGGGAGTCTCCTGTGCTCCAGACTAGCTGGGGTGAGAAAGCATCCCCTTCTCCCATGCCAGCGGTGAAGGAGTTTGCCTTCCTCCGAGAGTCAGAGGCTCCTCTGGGTGTATTTCCACTAAGTGGTTCTCTCCTGACCCAAGAGCGCAGCAGCATTTTCCCTGTTTCTTGTCTATGACGCTGATCTAAAAGGGGTAGGATCAAGCTCTTGGGTTAGCATAAAAAACCTGGGGAGAAATCCGGCACGGGGGAACTCCTGACTCTGAGCACCTACATGAAAGACCTGGGCATCAATCCAGAAGAGGGAGGCAAAGAGTTTATAGGTCTGGGAGGGGTATTAAAGAAACCTGCAGCAGCCATCTGTCAGAACAGGAGGAAGACTTAAGACACCTCTAATAAGGACTCTTGGGAATGAGTGTCACCACCGGTGCCCTCACCTTTGGGGGCAGCTGCTTGCTTACCTTCCCTCTTGCCAGCTGAGCTTCTGGCTGCCTCCAGACAGTTCCTCTCTGTCTGCAAGTGTGCACATCTGGGGCAGGGTGAAAGCAAGAGGAGCTGCTGGAGGGCAGGCTCATACCTGCAGGGTGCAGGGCAGGAGCCGTACTGAGCAGCCTGGCTTTGCAGTTCCATCTCAGCTGAGAAACCTTTTTGCATCCAGCCTCCAGGCATGCCACACAGGGCTGTGCTGGGCCCCGCCTGGGTGGCACCCAGGGAAAAATCACCCCACCAGCCATTTCCAGATTTTTCTTTGCTTTGCCCAAGAGCCAGGAAAAGGATAAGAAGAAAATTAGCTGCATGTATCATACTTTCCTACAAGCAGCTGGGAAGAGCACTTGGGAGACAGACCTTGCTCTGCTTTTTTGCCTTACTGGCCACAATGCCTAGCAGAGTGCTTGGGGCAGATAATGATTGCTTGCCCCAGAAGTGAAATAACATGTTTCTCTTCCGCAGAATAAGGAGAAACTGTCCTGTTCTGTGGTGTCCAAGAAAGCTGCAGTCCCCAGGTCTCTTCATAGCCCATGTCAGGCACAGCTGTGTCTCCCTAGGCACTTCTGGCCTGAAGTTTCTCAATAGGGTTTGGCAGAGCCTGTGCTGGCACCTGCTTGGCATACAGGGTTTCCTGAACCTGCTCCTTTTTTTTTGGTGGACAAGGGATCACCTCCTGGCTGGGGGTGCGAGATGAAACCGCGAGAACACTGCACGATGTTTACACAACATCACAGGGCATCATCTTCTCCTGTGGTATGATGCCCTGAAGGAGCCAGGACAGCTTGTCTCCTAAGAGAAGGAGCTGTCAAGGCTCAGGAACGCTGCTCCTGTTGGGTGGATGGACAAGGAGAGCTTGCCATCTGCTGGAAAGCAATCAGCACTGACAGGCAACAGTCTGGCAAGAGCTCTTGGGTGTAGGTAGGAACAGAAGAAAGGCCTGTGTCAGCAGTCCCTGGAGAGCTGGATGGCATTTGGGCTTGCAGAGAGAGCAGGAAGAGCATCCTCTGAGGGAAAGAAGCACCAATCTCGAGCAGATGAGGTATGACAGAATTCACTGCAGGGTTTTAATGCACTACCACTTCCCTTGAGCCCTCCCTGGAGGTGCCCATCCCCATCGCAGAGGTAGCAGAAGGGAGTAAGTGTTTGTGCAATTAATGCATCTTGACTCATTCATTAGTAGAGCAGAGCAGAGAGTTGACATGGGGTGTCTTGCATCTCCACAGCAGGGTTTGCCAGCACG